ATATTTTAGTGTGGACTGATTAACAAATCCAACTATGCCAAATTTCAATGTGGGCTATGACTGAGTTGGAAAAGTCTCATATGGCCTCGGGCCAGGTCTGATCTCCAGCCTTAAGCCCAATTCTTAAGGTTGGGCTTAGGTTGACCTTAAACCTAGCCTAGCCTGTTGATACTAGGAGTCGTCACGTGTTACAAAATCTTCACCAATGTATCCCATCTAGGCTTCTACCAACCCCACATTGTTTCAGATTGGCGCCCCATACAGGCCCCATAGCACAATAGAACAATCCATCCGTGTGTAGGGAAGATGTTCCCAGTGCATGCTAAGATGTGCATGTGGAGTGCCAATCAAGGATTAAAGTATCGGTATCGTATCGGACAATTCAGATATGGATGTGGATACGAATACGCTTTGGAAATGCATGGATACAAACGAAAAAAATGAAAACATATGGATACACTAGGGAAATACATACAAATTTCATAAATATATTAATAACACTAAATTTAAGATCAAAATGATCACAAAATAGTATATAAATACATAGAAAGTGTAAATATTAAGGAAATATATGAAGAAATCTATTAGAATTAATGAATCGGGATGCATAATTTTATTTATAGTGCATCAATCAAGAGTCCAAGACACTAATCATATACACCTATTATATTTTAATTATTATATCAATTATTTTTTTATTTTACTATTTTAATTTTTTAACATTAAGAAAAATTCAACTAAATATTAAATTTTCAAGTGCAAATTAAAATATCAATTAATAATTTATAAAAAATATAATCTTAACTTAAAGTATATCAAATTTGTTAAAATTTCTAAGATACATATCAAATACAAATTCATAGTTTTTAATTACTAAAATAATTATTCCATTATTATTTTTTTATTTCTAAAAATTTTATGAAATAAAAAATCATTTTTTGAAATAAATGTAGATTAGTGGATTTGATGGATTCAATTTAATATTATATTCTTCAATATTTTGTATATAATTATTTTATTTTTTGTAAATAATGAATATGGTGTTATTACTTTATTAATGTAAATTAAAATATTAGTTAATAACTAATAAAAGTATATAAAAATTTTGAAGATTTATATCATGTGCAAATTTATAAATTTTAAGTATTAAAATAATTATTCTATTATTAATATTCTATTTGTATAAATTTCTTGGTATTAAAAATCATATTTTTATATAAATGTGGATTTGATACATTATTTATTCTATTAGTTTATAAAATACTATTTTTAAATATTATTTTTTAATTTTTAGTTAAAATTGTTAAATATAAATTTATATTTTTTTATTTAAATTACATGTGAACACAAAAGATAATAAAATTTATTTTATTTCACTATCGCAAAAATATGGTTTAATGGTTTGGAATCACAAAGGATATACTTGTATTCATAGCTATCTTATATCGTTATTAACTGATTTAAATCATTGGTGTTAGTGGTTGGGGCAGTGCCTCACAGAATATCTTCGCCAGGTGTGAATGGCTAAAACATTACAATATGCAAATTGCTTAAGAAATGTCAGAAGTGGGATTTGAACCCACGCCTCCTTTCGAAGACCAGAACTTGAGTCTGGCGCCTTAGACCACTCGGCCATCCTGACGATGACGATTAATTATTCCTTCGTTTCTCCTTAAAACCATTTAATCAAGAAAAGGTTTTTTACCTTGTTATTCCTTTTTTTGTTTTTGTTTTTTGGGTGAGGGATTTTACACACTCTTCTTTTTGGGCCCATTAGAAATTAATAAACAACCTTTATTATTTGGCATTGAAATCTAGCCACACATTGAAAACATCATCCCGTGAATTTTATATGCATGTGCAGGAGATATTCTCAATAATCCCAACTTACATTTGAGACTTGGGGGGGATGAAGTGCAGCAGCTTCTAGCTTTTTGAGATGGATAAGTTTTGTTCAGTGAAAAATCCAAAGAGCCCAACTGTCAATCATTTGAATGACCATGTCCATTTCAGCCTCTTTAAATATCTTCTGCTGAATCAGTTTAATTGAATGTTCAGCTCAACCCTCCCAAATGGGCACTTTTTCAAGGAGGTTGAAGCGGACAGTCCCTCAGATGAGTAAGGGCCCTTTTGGAAGGGAAAAGGGCTGAACTGAGGTTCTCAGGATAAATTATCTAAAGAAGCTGAAGCAGACAACCCATAAAAAGATTGACTGAAGTCCGACTTGGGCTCTCCTGATTTTTCACCAAACTTGGTCTTCAGCTCTCCCAAGTCCCAAATGGGTTATATAATATATACAACAGCAAGTATAGTTCAACTATTATAAGCAGAGCATACGATATTTACTCGTTCGAGACTAGGTTTAAATTTTAATTTTACTTTATGAGTCAACCCAGCTGGTAATAAAGAGAGCACTTGAAACTTTAAACCCCAATTCTTGATTCAGTCTAACCAAGTTTGAGTCGACACAGTTTTGTTATAATCAATCAGCCCTCCTCCTTCCTCAGCCCATCATAGGTGGAAAATCAACATAATAAGATGGGCGTATGGTTATGAAACTAAAGCTTCATTTTGTATGATACATTGACTCCATGAAAAACCTTCCTTCAAGTTTCAAATAAATATGGCAACACTAATACACCCCTTTCATTGATAACCCTATACCAGAGATTGAAATTATAACCATGCCCTTATCATGAAAGTTCACACTGAACACCGTTGTTTACTTTTTATATTGTTTGAGACTTTGAGTATAGGGTTTCTACTAATATGAGAAGTTTAAGTTCAAAATCAATTTGGCTTTTATTGTTCACTCTTTTGATAAATGGTTAATAAAATTTTAGGCCGTTACCCTTTCACCTTAAATAAAGTTTGAGGTGAAAAAAGAAGGTCTCTAAGAGGTCAAAACTCAAAAGTACGAGGAGGCTTTAAGTATTTGATAGAAAACAAAAAGGAAGTGACAAAATCTATAATGTATTCCATGGAAATTGAATGCACATAACTCAAACGTTCATGTATGTCTTTAACATGATTAGTTGGAATTTCAATGTAATTAGTCATATTTTAAAATGTATCATACTTGGAATCAAAGGAGGTATAAGTAATTTTTCCCTTTTAATTATTCCTAAAGGCCCTACAATTAATAATATTGTTAGAGGTTAGAACTTAGAAGTAACCCCTCCATCATTATCATTCAAAATGGAAATTCCATGGAGCATTAAGATAATTAAACATGAAACCAGTTAATTTCCATATATATTCGAGAAAGTCTATTATCTAGGTCAACATAATTATTATATAATAAATGAAAAGAGAAGTATTAATATAGTGAGGGATTCCTAAGAGATATGAGGCATCCCTCAGATACTGCCTCCTGTGCAAATTGGAATCACAACCGGTGGAATTAAGTTTTGCCACCAAAGAAAGAGAAAAAAAAAACAGCAAGATCAAATTAGCAGTTACCCATTTGGGTAATTTTTGATACCTTGGTATTATGCTATCATTTTTTTTTTTTTTTGTTGCTACCATTAGACTCAAGTGCTTAATTAGGCTCAGTTTGGGACGAATGCAAATACAAGGTTTAGAAACTGTATGCAAGATTTTGCATTTGCATTCTTCTCAAACTTAGCCTTATGAAAATATTTTTTTTGCTACTTCAATGAAGACGCAAATAACCTCATTAATCAATAGTAACCAGCATTGTATTAAGGCTTTTTTTGGCAGGCTGTCATTTGTCCTCTAGTGAGTGCCCCTTCATTTAAGGAGTAGTGGAAGTAAATTCTGGACAAGTGTTTATGCATCACTTATGTGGTTTTAACATCATCGTCTAAACCTAATCCCAAATCCCATAGGGTTTGGCTACATGAATCTTATTTCAGTATAAGTTTCTATTTTAGTGTCAACTGCCAAGAAACACTCTAGCATGAACATGAAAAGATAGGGTGTGTCTCAAACAAAATCTGGCATGTCTCAAACAAAACCCATATGCAGAAATTAACGAAAATGATACCAAACACCAAGCTTATCTTTGTTCATTCTTCCAAGATTCCTTCCAAGCACTCTACTTATGGATAGGTAATTTAGTTGTGTGTCATGTTGGGAAAAAAATCCAGCCTTAATACAATATTGGTCGTTATCAAGGAGTGAAAATATTTTTCCCAAATCAATCATGTTTCCAAATATCCCCTTAATTTCCTAATTTAAACCAATACTTTTTTTTTAAGGGAAAAATTGGCTATTTATATTCAACAATGGAAAAAATGACGATCTAAATTCAACAGCCTAGCTAGGATGCCAACAAAACTCTACACATAACATTTTAGTAACATGGATTCATAATAACAATATCAATTTGGATGCATTTATGTCAAACATAGGCACCCTATGTGTATGGATCACTGGCATGTTCACTCTATCCGGTCTATGCCCCTTAGGAGATCCCGAATAATGCTACTGACAGGGCTCTCCCTACATGACACATTAATAGATCAGAAAACTTTGCCTATCCACCTTCAACATGTGGACGACATGTTATCTCATCCAATTATGCATCTAACATCAATACTGTCACTCTTACATATAATAATATCATCATTTTAGATATACTATCATCGGGAGATGTTTCCAACACACGGCGGAGATGTGGTAGGGGGCAGTTTTGTGAGGGGCTGATTTGAACGGAGGCATTGTTATTTGTAAGTTGTAAAATCAGTACCACTCACATTTCATGTAAAGATTTGCACAAAATCCTTCCAAGATCTATTCTTACCTGAATAGTGAGATGTACTTCAATACATTTCTCTCATAAATTTAAACCTAAAACGGTCAAAATATCTCTGGAGAGATATATGTGATAAATGACCCCTTCAAAGAAAATTAACCTTTACTCCACCCAGATACTACATTCAAAACATTACTTAATTACCTCATCTTGCCTATATAAAACCTCCCCATCTGCACATTTTCCACTCAACTATTCAACTATCCTTCACAGCCCAATGATGCCCATAAAACTCAAGAAATCTCTCCAGATTTATCTCTCCAAGCTCAAAAAACCAACTCCACAACTTCGTATCTCTCACAGAGCCATCACCTCTTCTACTTGTTGGATCTTACCTGGGTGCAAGCACCCCAAGACCCCTTCATTTGCCGCCGGTCGTCACCGACCAGATTCCCATAACAGCGATGAAACTGCAGCGCTCGCCGACGTCGACGTCGACCATTTCTACCACAAAGATACTCATGACTTAGGAAATTCGACCAGCTTTCTTCTCGAGTCGTCCGGGCTTGTTGACCCTCCACCTGACGCCCGTCCATCGCAAAGATTCTTTGTATTGCCAAGCTCATCGAATTCACTAATCGAAGAAGCCCGATCGAGCAGGAACACGACAACGTTTGATGACATCGGTTCTAGCTCTAACACTCTCCCTGACTATATACCAGAATCTATAGCACTATCAGCTCAGATGAAGGGTCTGAATCTCCCTGATGACAGTATTGCCATCCTAACGTACTCTTCGAACCCGTACGACGACTTCCAGCGATCAATGAAGGAAATGGTAGATGCCTATTTCTGGCGATACCGGACAATCGACTGGGATTTCATGGAAGAGCTGCTCTTTTGCTACTTGATGCTAAACGAGAAGAAGTCACACAAGTACATACTTGGTGCGTTCGTGGACCTGATTGCGACTTTACGTCAGAACACCTGCAGGATTCCGGCAAAGGCACCAAAATATTCCGGCCATTGGTAATGGTTTCCTATTTGTTTATTCACTGATTCTTGCCCGGCCCTTATTTGGCGAAGATTTCACAAATAGTCAAATATCCGCCTTGTTGGTCCATCCTTTCTGCGTTGCATTTAGGTTTGTGTTTGTTCACGTGGCATTCCATGCCCAGCCGGAATTTGATATCTTCGGGAAGGAATTCGCATTTCTAAGTTGATCCAACCTTTCCAAATAATACTCTCTTTGGCAGGAGAAATTTACTTCTGCTGCAAACATGGTTTCAGCGTTCCCTTACGACCCCGATGTGCACGTGTTTCATGACATTACCTAAATTGCTTTTTAATTTCCTTCGCTAGCATGCACGTGTTTAATTAATGTGCGGGGACACGCGGGAATGTTCTCAATGCATGCTGAGATTTGCATGCACGTGTTTGATTCTGTGTAACATTATGGGAAAACTTCATATTAGTATCTTGTATTTTGAGTTTAGTGCTATTTTCGTCATCCAACTTTAAAATACGATGATATTGGAATTTTAAAAGCATGTCAATTTAGTACCAACTGCCATTAATTAGTCGGTTAACCAGCTATTAAGTGTCATCCAATTCTCTTTATCGATCATTAAAATATTGACAAAAAATGAATAATCCCAAACCCTTGCCTCTTTTGTTCAAGAAAGTTGGGGTCACTAGAATGCCCACTAAGACGTAACCCCAACTTTCTTGAATAGCAGAGGCAAAGATTTGAGACTGTTCATTTTTATCAACATGTGGATGTTTGATAAAGAAAATTAGATGACACTCAAAGGGCATTTGTGTCTTTTCAAATATCACTTAACGGTTGGTTAAAGGATTAGTTAACGACAGGTACTGGATTGACACTTTTTGAAAGTTCAGGTACTGAATTGTCATGTTTTAAAGTTTGGGGACCAAAGTGGCAATAGACCCAAAGTATAGGATACTAATCGGGAACTTTCCCTCACATTATCCCGAGACGATTAAAGAAAATATGGACACAATGAGACCACGATGGACTCCCAGAAACAGATATTGAACCAGTCACTTCAGATCCAATGTGTTTAGACTCAAAGGGATTTTCTCTTTGAGTCCATTAAAATTTTGACACATCAATCCCTGCTCAACTGGTCATCACCTGCAACAAGGGGTGGCAATTTTTCACCCAACCCACACAATATCTAACCCGCCCATTTACTTTGCGGGTTGAAATGGGTTGATCACCCATTGGGTCAATTTAAATGGGTTGGGTTGTGGATAACCATTGGGTTAACCACTACATATATAAGTATTAATTCCTTAGCCTTTTTTTTTTAATTTTCTTCATTTAAATTAAATAATTTATAATTAATGCATTAACTTTATAATAATTACTAACTAAAATTAGTTTTGTCTCGAATCAACACAAATCCAAATCAGCCCGGTCCGAACCCGACCCAATAAATGTTGATCCGGGTCAACTCGATTTCGAAACAGGTTCGGACAAGATGGTTCGACGCCCCACTTGCTTTGCCCGGTTTGGATAAGTCGGCCCACATCCGCACAATTCGACCCAAATCCGAACCAATCCGATTTACTTCTCTTGCCCCACTTCAAACCAGCCGGTTCAGTCCTAGACCCGTGCACAAACCTAATATGGTCCGGTCCATGTAAATCCGCCATTGACTGAACTGGTCCAGTTTGGTACAAATGAACTGATCCAGATCTAAATGGTTCAACCACCCTTTATTTGATTAGCTCGAAAACGATCCAATCAGATAGTTCAAGTTGGTCTGATCGGTTTGAACCTAAGTGGTTCAGTCAAACTCTAAACCCAAACATGGTCAAATGGCTTCACCACTTGTGTAAAAATAACATGCATGTAATGTGATTTGAACCTTCACCACTTGTGTAAATAACAACTATTATTACTACCAAGCTATGACCAACTTATTTATTAAGAGAGAGTTAGTCTTTTGTTTCAAGAACATAAATATAAGATTAATGGGTTTGGGTGGGTTGGATTGGATTAAAGCAAGTTTGGGTTGAACACGAACCATTTAATTTTATATAACTAGGTCATTAATGGGTTGGTGGGTTTGATGGATTGGGTTGAAACTCAGCCCAGACCAAACCCAACCCAACACGGCCAATTGCCACCCCTACCTGCAACTGATTGAAACTTCATAAAATATTTGTAAACTAAACCGATAGAAAATTCTAAACCCCTCACATTCTTTGTTCTCACACTCAAACCCTACTCCCTCAACTCAACCATGCATTAATATCTCCATCAATGTTGTTCAAACCGCAATTGTGAGTGGTTCATCCCTTCACATTCAGATTCCCCAACTGTCATGCTCCTCAAATCTAAAGACCCAGCACCATTCTCCATGAGGAAAAGTGCTCCAAAATTCACCATGAAAAGGGAATGCCAATCTTCGAAGCCTTCCAAACACGATGTACTAAGACCACCCCATTTTTGTATCCAGTCACCAAAAAACTCTCGTTCTTGTTGATAGATAGGTAAAAAAACATGGCCGTAATGGGGAAACCACATAAAGTGTAGAATTCAACCAAGACATCTTTATTTGGAAAGAAGACAAAAACCCTACCCCACTCATCTCCAACAACAACATGTTTCCTATAACCTTCATAATCTTCAAATGGCAATACGCTCATCACCGTAGCTTCCGATTCAAGCTTCACCTCGACAAAAATCAAAACCTCTCCGACCACGATGGGTTATACTTTGTCACAGAAACCCCTCTCCCTCTATCTCCTCTTGAACCTTACCTTCAAAACACCCATCTTCGACCTCTTTCAACACCCTGCCATCTCCTCCATTTCCACCACCAGTCTTACCTTCAAAAGCCTTGCCTAACTAAAGACCCGCCATTAAAGAACCTCCAATACTAATATTTTTTTTTCTTTCTGAACTCTGCCATTGTTGCAAGCAGCTATTCCATAACCACATTGCTTCTGATCTTCCTCAACGAACATGCCTGATATATACCCTTTAATACACCTGATATATTATTGTTTTTGTTGCGGTTTGAACATGATAGAGAGGTGGTTGGTTTGGGGGAATAGGGTTTGAGTATGAGAAATCGGTTCTTTATAAAAATTTTACAACATTAATTTTTTATTTAAAAATGTTGTTATCAATGATAAAGTTTCAACCCGTTGCAGGTGATGACTAGTTGAGCAGGTATTGACGTGTCAAAATTTTAATGGACTCAAAAGAGAAAATCCCTTTGAGTCCAAAGCACTAGATCTGGAGTGCTTCATAAACGGGTTCAGTAGACTATCTCAATACGAGTTCACATCTGCCCCCCATAGAACACGCCCCAAAAATGCCCCAGATGCACATCTCAGTGTGCATTGAGAACATCTCCCATACTTGTCATTGGGAGGTGTTCCCAATGCAAAGTTGGGATGTGTTGTGGGACATTTTTGGGGCACATTTTGTGGGAGGCAGATGTGACTTCTCTCAATACAACAATGGGATTCCCTACAAACAAAAATATTGCACATATTCTTAAAGCACATGAATTGATTCATACATGATACATTTTGGGGGGCGTTCTTTTTTCAGATTTAGAGAGGGGGAAAGTTGGTCAATGGGATTTTGGTTCCCATTGACCAAGAATCCCATGTTCTTTTTTCAGATTTATGTGGGGACCGGGGAAAGTTTATTTTCCTGGGTGGGTAAATTAACTTTCCCACCTATGGGGAAAGTTCTCAACACTTGAATGGAACAAAAATGCCCTTTTTAATAATGGATTTTTATGGCTAAAATGGCCATTGCCTTATTTATATGAGAAATAAAAGAACATGGGTAAGTGCACTTACCCAGGTAAGTATTTCCCAAGAAAAACTTACCCAGGTAATTGCATTTACCCGGGTAAGTAACTTGTCGAAAAGAGAACAGGGCCTTGGAGTCCATATCTCCTACCCACGTCTACCCATATAACATCACAACCAGTCAACCACACATGGAGAACATCTCATCCTCCTACATTGTATTATTATGGATGGCAATTTTTCACCCAACCCATTTACTTGACGAGTTGTGTGATCAACCCATCACCCAACCCGCCCATTTAAATGGGTTGGGATGGGTTGTGGATAACCATTGGGTTAACCATTATAGACATAAGTATTAATTCCTTAGCCTTTTTTTTAATTTTTTTTATTTGAATTAAATAATTTATAATTAATGCATTAATTTTATATTAATTGTTAACTAAATTTAGTTTTGTCTTCAATCAACACACTTCACCCAACATAAATCCAAATCAATTTGACCCGAGTCCGGACCAGTTCAACGTGGTTTGACCTGATCCAACATATACCGACTCGGGTCAACTCAAATCCGAAATATACCCTAGGCAGGATGGTTCGGTACCGCTTGCTCTACCTGGTTTGGGTTGTCCAGTCCAACTAGTACACACACAGCCCGACCCGACACAAGTTGATTCTGGTCGACCTGAATCCGAAATGGTTTCGAGCGAGATGATTTAGCGTCCACACACTTTGCATGGTCTGGACCATCCGTCCGACCAATATCCACACAACCCGACCCGAATCTGGACCTACTCGATTTACTTACGTTGACCCGCTTCGGTTCAGTCAATTCGGTCCCAAACCCGTGCACAAACCTGATATGGTCCGGTCCAAGTCAATCCACCATTATTGACTCAACCAGTCCAGTCTGATCTAACCGGATTGATCCAGATCTAAATGGTTCAACCACCCTTGATGTGATTAGCTTGAAGATAATCCAATTAGATAGATCAAGTTGGTCTGACTGATTTGAACCTAAGTGGTTCGGTCAAACCTGAAATCCGAACATACTCAAATGGTTTCGCCACTTGTGTAAAAATAACATGCATGTAATGTGATTTGAACCTTCACCACTTGGGTAAATAGTAACTACAATTACCACCAAGCTATGATCAACTTATTTGTTAAGAGAGAGTTAGTTTGTTTTTAACTCCATAAATATAAGATTAATGGGTTTGGGTGGGT